TAAAGTTGGGCGTTTAGAAGAATTCGACGTCTTTCACCCCGAGAGGTGGGAATCTTACGTGGCAAGAGTCGAGACGTATTTTCGCATAAACCAGGTTCGAGAGGAAGGCTTAAAGGCTGCCACATTGTTGTGCGTTTGTGGGCAAGACGCCTTTGAGATCGCTGAGAGCTTAATCTCCCCAGACTCGTTGGAAACGGTATCGTACTCCGACCTCAAGAAAACCTTAAAGGAACACTTCCAGCCCAAGCAATCAGTCATGGCTTGGAGGCACACATTTCAACAGAGAGATCAGCGAGTTGGAGAATCAGCAAAAGACTACGTTGCGGCCTTGAGAAGAGCAGCTAAACCGTGCGACTTCAAGGACTTAAAAGAAAGGCTTCGCGATCATTTTGTATGCGGACTGAGAAACACAGAATTGCAGCAGAGACTGTTCGCCAGGGAAGATGTTTCCTTCCAAGATGCTCTGAGAGAGGTTTCGGCTGAAGAAGCTGCCGGCGGGGCGGTCAAGAACATGCAGCCCAAGAAAAACGCTCCTGAGACTGCCACTATTCACAAGGAAGACGTGCGCGAGGAGTTGGACGAAGATCCTGAAGAAGAGGTGGACAAGCTTTACCAAGCTGCTGGAAGAAAGTCCAAGGATCATCAGGACAAGGGCCCAGCTGAGCTTCGTTGCCTCGGATGCGGTGGACGCCACAAGCGAGCTGAATGCCGGTTCCGTTCCACCATTTGCCGAGCGTGCAGGAAGAAGGGCCACATCGCTGCGGTCTGCCTGGGTCGACAGAAGGTACAACCGAAGGAAGAATTGAATCTGAAAGGTACCAGGGTGCCCAGCCAAAACAGGGTGGGGTTCTGTGCAACACGCCGGAACATTTTAAGAATAGGCACACACAAACACCTTAAAAAGAAACTAACACTTAAAGTGAAATTGCAGGGAATTCCATTATCGATGGAACTTGACACAGGGTCTGCCCTATCCATAATTTCCCTCAATACATTTCACAAAATCTGCAGCAGCAGTGGCCAGAAAGTTTCCCTAAGGCCCTCTAATGTAATCCTTACGGATTTCCAAAATTCTAAAGTGTGCGTTAAGGGG